CCTCCCCTCCCCAGCTGCCCCTCCCCCTACCTTGTCAGCTTGAGCCTCCAAAGATTTGAGGTTGTTGGTGACAATTTTCAGTTCTTCCTCAAGGTCCCCACATTTACTGTGTCCCAGCCAGACAGAGAGACGCAGAGGCAGAGACAGGATAGAAGAAAGGAAGGAAGGAAGGAAGGAAGGAAGGAAGGAAGGAAGGAAGGAAGGAAGGAAAGGAAGGAAGGAAGGAAAGGAGGAAAGGGAAAGAGGGGAGGGAGAGCATCAGTGGAGAGAGAGAAAAAGTGGGCTCCCAGAGAGATTCCTTCTGCAGGGCTGGAAACTGAGCTGCACAAAATCAGCTGGATTTGGGGTGGGGGGTGTGTGTGTTCTTTATCACTCCAGCAGAACCTTCTTCTCACATGTCTCCCAAGCCAGCCAGCTTCGGACACGGGGAGTTTCGGCCAGCCAGCTTTGGACATGGGGGAGTTTGGGGAGCAGGCTCCCCTGAAGAGCCTGCCCTTGGGCGATAGATGTCCAGCCTGCCTTTCCATCCGGGGGATGAGAAGAGGCTGTTGTGTTACCTTCCCGGTGTGATCCAGGCCGCGACGGCCGCTTCTGTGAGAAGATGTTGCTGTTTAGCCCCCCCTCCCCAGCCTCACTACACCCCCCCCACCCCCGTTACCTCTGCGTCCTCACAGGTCAACTCAGGCCATGGGAGGCTCCTAAGGGGTTGCTCAGCAGAGCTGCCCCTCCGCACGTCCCTTTGCCATCTCGGCCATGGGGGTGCAGCCTGGTCCTGAGCCTCCACTGGACAGTGGGCAGTGCCCAAGGGAGAGGCCAGCCAGAGAACCTCAGCAGGGGAGGCAGAAGGGAGGAGAAAGGCTGAAAACCGAGGACCGGCTGAAAAGCAGGAGAGAGCGCGCAGCGAAAGGCGCGGAAGAGAGGAGGACGAGGAGGGCAGGAGAGCCCCCTACTCAGTACCTCTTCCTCTGAAGCCATCAAGGATTTGAGGGCCTGATCCATAGTGCGCAGCTCCTCTTCCAGCTGCCTCACACGGCTGGGGAGGCAACACAAAGTTTAGCCAGAGGAGGAGGAGGAGGAGGAGGCCAGCATGATCAACACAGCCAAGGCTGCCCACCACCCACCACCGCCCCCACCCCAGCGTCTGCCCAGGATTTGCTGCCTCAGAACTCCAAATGGGGAGAAGCCGCGCTCGACTAANGCTGGGCCAAGGACCCCCAAATCACCTCTTTCTGTGCCTCACAAGCCGTCTTTCCAACACCCAGCAGGCCACTAACAGCAGAGAGACCAGGAAACCCTCCCCACAGATCGGACTGCGAAAGGGCTGCAGCCGGCGGGACCCTCCCGCTCCCAGCCCCACAAATGACACAGGGACACGCCATCCTGGCTGGTCAGCTTGATTTAATATCTGCACTGGGAAGTGAGGCGCTGCGCCAGCTGGACATGGAATGGCCTCAGCCTGGGCTGCAGGAGGCCGTCCTTCCTCCCAGAGGTGCGGGTGGGGGGGCCGGGGAAGCAGAGGGGGGGAAGCGCAGCCCCTCAGAGATTGTTCAGTTCGAGAAGAGTTTGGTCCAGGACCTGGTGGATGCCGACGTTCTCCTCTTTGGCACTGGCCAGGTTCTCTGTAAACACAAGGCACGCAACGGACACACCACGCACAGCAGGCGCACAGCCAGGTTGAGAGCCATCCGAGTGAGAGGAAGAAAGGAAGGCACACACACAGACACACACACACACACCCAAGGGGCATGTCAGTCTCGGGTCTTCCGAAGAAGAGCAGCAGCTACAAGGATGCCAGGATACTTAGAAGGGGCTGCCCAAGATGCCAGCGGGCAGCCTTCTCCCCCTTGGTTGCTAAGAGAAGGCCAGGCCTAACCCACACCGCTAGCAGTGCATCACAGGTGGCTGAGAGTGCCAAGACAGCGAGAGGGCGGCAGCTGCTCAAAGGTGGTGGGAAAACCCAGGATTGTGCCCCCACCCCTGAGTTCTCCAGCCCAAGTAGACGCTCCTTCCAGGTGCCCCCCTCCCCAGCAGCAATGCTGTGTGCAGTTCATGCCCTCCCCACCAGGAACAAGCCATCCCTGGGCACCTCCCCCTCCTCCCCCAAGCGTCTGCTGCCGGGCTGGCGGAGAACCAAGGTTTTTTCCCCTTTCCTGGATGCCACCTGGGCAATGAGCCCTTCGCCCTCCCGCAGGGACACACAGCACCGGCTGCCAAGTGTTGCTCCAGTCCCGTCCACCCCTGGGGGGGGGCAGGAGTGACCCTCCCGGTAGGCTAACTCAGTTGTGGAGGCCGTT